GGACTCCCACCTCATACCATGCACAAAAATTAATTCCAGTTGTAGTAAAATCCTAAATGGTGAAAGACAATACTGTAGTGAGTATAGGATATAATATATAAAACTTATTACCTTGGGGCAGTGAACAAAACACGAGCCACAACAAAGTTTGATATATTTAGCCGCATAAAAGTAAAAATAGTTCCTCAAAAGACATCATAAAGTGAATGAAAAGACAAGACACCAAGTGGGAAAATATGTTTATGAGCTGTAGAGACAAAGGAGAGGATCCCAACACATTAAAAAATACCTTTAACTTGTTAAGAAAGATGGACAACCCAATAGAAATGGGGACAGACACTTCACAGAAGAGGACATCCAAGTAGCCAAGAAACATGAAAAGGCTCAACTACTTTGGTCATCAGGGGAAATAAAATTAAAACCAAATAAAACACTACTACAGACCCATCAAGTTTGCAAATATTAAAAAGTAATCAGTGCTGGTGAGGATGGGGCGCAACTGGAACTCTGTCGACTGATGATGAGAGTTTGTATCAGTACAAACACTTTGGAAGAGGGTTGGAAATTGGCAAAATCAAGTGTGTACTTGACTTATAACCCAGCGATTGTGCTCTTGGGGTTGATACTGAAACGCACGCACACAGGCACATCAGGGCATCTGTATAAGAATATTCCTAGCTTCCTTACTCAAAATAGCTCGAACTGGAAACAACCCAGATGTCCTTCAAAAGAACAGTAGAAACTCATGATTTGTTCATAAGTAAAACACTGAGCAGCAGGAAAATAAGACTCAGTCATGTATAAGAATCCAGAGAATCTTAAAAACATAATATTGAACAAAAGAATTGGTGCACACACGCAAAATACTTAGGACACGATTTCATTTGTGTAAGGTCAAAACCAAAATGAAGCACTATTTTAGAAATGCATTTATAGATGATAAAATTTTAAAAAGGCAAGAAGATGGTCATCTTAGAGCCAAGATAGTCAGGTATAATTGGAGATGGATGAATGGGGGATGCATTTCATGTGGCAGTTCCTTGTTTGACTAAGACAGTGGTTACAAAGTGTTTACTTAATAATTACACACAACACCATACTTTTCTGTATGTATGTTTTAATATAAATTTTTACATTCCAAAATCAATAAATTAGGCTATGAGATCAATAGGGAAACACAAATTTTTCAAAATATACTAAAATGACTATGGTTAATATTAAATAGGTGACCGGGCTTGGTGGCTCAACCTGTCATTCCAGCACTTTGGGAGGTTGAGGTGAGTGGATTGCCTGAGCCCACAGGTTCAAGACCAGCCTAGGCAACTTGGTGAGACTTGTCTCTACAATAAATTTTTTAAAAAATTAGCTGGGCATGGTAGCACATGCCTGTAGTTTCGGCTCCTTGGAAGGCTGAGGCGGAAGGATCGCCGGAACCCAGCAAGTTGACGCTGGGGTAGCTGTAAGTGTGCCACTGCACTCCAGCCTGGGAAACAGAGTGAGACTGACTCAAAAAAAAAAAAAAAAAAAAAAATATATATATATATATACATATATGTATATATGTATATATGAATACACACATACACACACACACACACACACACACACACATATATATAAAATAGGTATTCTTAATTTGAAAAAAAATCTTAAAATCTAGATATAGATTTTCTATAACGAAACAAAAAATTATATATATATATATCAAGCTAACAGTCATTATCACATCTAATGGACAAACACTAAACATTTTCTCATTTAGGTTGGTAACCAAATAAGGCTGCTTGCTATCAAGCAAATTATTTAACATTGTTCTGGAAGTTCTAGAGACTTCACTTTTCTTCCTCAATTTCTACCTCCCCTAGTCGTTCCCATCTCAGCAGACAGCACTCTCGTCCATTTAGCATCTCAAGCAAGTGAAGTCATTCTTAATTCTGCTCTTTCATTCATTCTTCTAGTTCTAATCTATTCCATGTATTGTTGGATCTAAGACCAATAAATTTCCTAAATATGTCCATCTATGTCCACCTTCAATGCCACCACCTTACTCTAAGCAATTGTCATCTTTTTCTTCTGGATTGCTGTAAGAGTCTCACAGCTTCTACTCCTGACCACAATCCATCCTGCACTCAGCCCCTATAATGATCATTGGAAAATGTGACACAGTGTGGCTGTGAGGTCAGTGGGCTGGTTCCGTTGGCCACAGTGTCACGTCCCTCTTCAGCATGGGTCCTCCGTGTGCCACGTGAAGCTGGTCTCCACATGTCAAAGCACAGGCACGGTAGGCTGGCACTTTCAGGAACAATTCTACACTTCTCCAACAGGTCCACAACTATTTCCAGGTTTCAAAGCATTTAACATTTAATGAGCTACTGGTATCCTAACGCCATATTTTGGTCACATGTATAAGATATTCTACAAATACTTTGGTTTCAAATCTTCAAACTCCAGCTATGCCTGGGTCTAACAACTTTTCTCCCCAAATGGGCCATACGCCCCGCCCTCCAGGGCTTTTGGTCTCCACTGTCGAGTGAACGCACCTCCCCTCTCTTCGTCCCCAGCTGGCAGGAGTTGCTGCTGCGATGCCACAGACATGCTTGTTTTCCATTCCTCAGACGGGCCTGCTCTGTGTGGGCCTTGGACTCTAGTAGATTACATTTGTTAGACACGTAGACCTTTTCATGACCAGGAGCAATGCCATTGTTGTAGACGTAGACTCTGGACGCCACATCCCACACACACTGTGGTTTTGTTTTTTGTTGTTGTTGTTTTGAGTCGGAGTCTCACTGTGTCGCCCAGACTGGAGTGCAGTGGCCGCTCCCAGCTACCGCAGCCTCCACCTGCTGCGCTCCGGCGATCCTTCCGCCTCAGCCTTCCGAGTAGCTGGAATTACAGGTGCGCGCTACCATGCCCAGCTAATTTTTTATTTATTGTAGAGATGAGGTCTCACCAAGTTGCCCCTTGAATCAGCAAGCTCCAAACGCCCAAGTCCCAAGGTCTGTTCTGGACACAGCTGGAGCCTCTGGGGAAACATGTGTTTGAAAACACTACCATACAAAATGTAGCTACTGACCACAGTAACAACAAAGCTCGGGACGCATGTCTGCCAAAGACCACCGCCGATTCTAGCTTGAACTCTTTAAGTTCAAATATCCCCACCTTGCCAATTCATTCGAGAATCAAAACCTGGAGTTGGCAGTTTCTGCACTAAGGAAATATGATTTTTCAAATTGAGAATTCAGTCAGAAATATTAGTGAAGATAGATATGATTGAAAGAATAATTTTATTCAATCAGCCCCAGTAATGCCATTGTCACCAGATCGTAGACTCCAAACCACTATTCTTCCATTGCTAATAAACCTCAGTTTGTTATCATCTCACTAAAGGACACCATTGGAGTGGAAATTTTTTTTGAAACCTGAACTTGAAAATATTCATGTCCCAGTAGTCTGAAATGGTAGCTTCTTCTTGCCTCATATTAATAATGATGCCAAATTTTTTGAATTTTTAAAAATTAAAAATCACCTGAAAAAAGTAAAGACTTTAAGCATTTAATCTCCATCACAAATGCAGAAAGTTCTTGCCTTGGTTTCTTATATGCATTTTTTTAAAAACAAGAAATAGAGGTGGGGGAAAAAACAGACAATTGCCTATTAAAGTGAAGTCCGTTTTCACATGAACATAGTACCAAAGTCAGAAATATGGCTTGCCTTTGCACTCAACTGCAGTTCCATCAGAAATGCAATCCGTCTCAACACCATTACTTGGCACTTTATAAATACTATCAGCACTGTCCTCCCAACCACACGAGGAGGGTGCTGTCCCGTGTAAGTCGAGGGACGGAGACCTCGTAAAGCTAAGTCATTTTTCAAGGCCACACCTGCTGGTAAGAGGTGAAGCCGGGATTTGGGAGCAGGCAGCCTGGCCTTGGAGTCCAGCTCACTCGCAATTGTTCCTGTTTACCGGGAATTCCGCCATTTCAGCTTATGCTTCCCTTTCATCTAAAGGTCACTCAGTAGAGGATAATTGGCTTTCTGGGAATAAGGACCTCTACATTTTATGACTTTTTTTTTTTTTGAGTTGGAGTCTCACTCTGTCGCCCAGACTGGAGTGCAGTGGCCACTCCCGGCCACCGCAGCCTCGACCTACTGGGCTCCAGCGATCCTTCCGCCTCAGCCTTCCGAGTAGCTGGAATTACAGGTGCACGCCAACACGCCCGGCTGATTTTTTATTTATTGTAGAGATGAGGTCTTGCCAAGTTGCCCAGGCTGCTCTGGGTTCAGAGCAATCCTCTGGCCTCAACCTCCCAAAGTGCTGGGATTACAGGCTGAGCCACCGAGCTCAGCTCATTTTATGACTTTTAAAGTTAGCGGCTTGTGGGGCTCAGTGGCTCAGCCTGTAGTCCCAGCACTTTGGGAGGTTGAGGCCAGAGTGCAGTGGCACGCTCACTGCCATCCCAGCATCGATCTCCTGGGCTCCGGCGATCCTTCCACCTCAGTTTTCCAAGTAGCTGGAACTATAGGTGCATGCCACCATGCCCAGCTAATTTTTTGATTGATTGTAGAGACGAGAGGTCTCACCAAGTTGCCTGCGCTGGTCTCGAACCCCTGAGCTGAGGCAATCCTCTCACCTCGGCCTCCCAAAGTGCTGGGATGACAGGCTTGAGCCACTGTGCCCGGCCAGGAATAACAAATTTAATAGACGTCAGCAAAGCACCACTGAAGCCAGAGACTTGAGGCTGACAGACTCAGTTGGTCAAAATGTTGAGCTTCAGCATGAATAGAGGGTGGTGGTGGCCTGGAAGGCAGGACATGTCACAGTTGCAGGGCAGTGAAGAGCTGTTGGGCCTTGGGCACTGTTTCAATGACCAGGGTAAGTGACTCAGAGGTCCACATGCCAGGAAGGGGCTGGGTCGAGTGCCAGCTTCACCTGATGCTGGCTCAAATTAACGTGGGAGCTAGTTAACACAAAGCACTGCAGGGGAGGTATCCTTTGGGCATCAGACTGTGCCACCCCAGACGTGGCCACAGACAGACACACCAACGATCAGGAGGGGGTTGAGGGGCCGGAGAGGGACTGCAATATCTGACGGCAGCCTATGGAGTGGGAGGTCCACTTCAGGGGCCACAGGGAGCCCTGGTTGTCAAAGTAGGAGAAAGCATCTGGCAGCCTTGGACACATGTCAGTTCTCGGAGGGGAAAAGGTCTCCAACCCTTTGACGCCTCTCACCTGTAATCCCAGCACTTTGGGAGGCTGAGGCCAGAGGACTGCCTGAGCCCAGGAGACCAGCCTGAGCAACATAGCAAGATCACATCTCTACAAAAATTCAAAAAAATTAGCCAGGAGTGGTGACACACCTGTAGTCCCAGACACTCAGGAGGCTGAGGTGGAAGGATTGCCTGAGCCCAGGAGGTCAAGGTTCCGGGGAGCCATGATCATGCTGCCGCGTTCCCACCTCAGCAACAGAGTGAGACCCCTACTCAGAAAAAAAGAAAAAGAAAGAAATCATGGAGGTAGTGAATAGAATTGTTGACGAAAGATGCCAAACTCTGTACAGTATTTAAGAAGGTTTATTCCGAGCCAAATACGAGCGACCTGAGGCCTGTGGTATCGTCCTAAGAGATCTTGAGAACATGTGCCCGGAGTGGTTGAATCGCAGCTTGGTTCTATATCTTTTGGGAAAACAGAAGCTGCAAGAAACCGTCGACCAACACACACGGAACCCACACTGGTTCAGCCTGGCGAGGCAGGACAGCGACAAGCAGGAGCTTGCTCTAGGCAGGTGCAAAGTCATGCCGGAGGAATTTCGAAATCAGTCAAGGAAGCGCCGCGGCGGTGGGGAGGTCCTGGGGCTTGGAGAGGAGGCTTCCTGACATGCAGATGGAGCCTCGCGGGGGGCAACCCTCAGCGTGAACAGCTGGTGGGCGTCTCAAAAGGGGCCCAGAGTCAGGAGCCCCTGAGAGAGGACTTTGCAGGCCCACGCAATCCTTGGAGTTGCTTCTGGTCCGTTGTGTGATGCTCTGCCAGAGTCAGGGGGAGAGTGAGCCTCGCTGCTCAGGGTTCCCAAAAAACCCATCTGATGAGTCTTTGCAGGGCGTGACTCCAGCCCCTTAGTTAAGAATTTGTCAAGAGAGAAAACCAAGTCAGAGTGATTCCTCACAATGACGGTTGCCAGAAGCTAGGAAGCAAGAGTGGAGAGGGGATCCAGGGGGTTGATTAAGGGGTAAAAAACCTGTCGTCGTAAGGAGTAAGTTCTATGGTCAATGACACGATAGAGTGGTGCAAGTGAACAATAAACACACAAAATTATATATGCCTGAGGTGGCAGGTATCCCCATTACCCAGATTGATTATTATACATTGTGTGCCTGTTAAAAAAAAGTCATACAACCCATGAATGCGTGTAACTGGTATGTATCCATAAAAGTTAAAAAAAAAAAAAAAAGGATCAGAAACCCTGAGAGAAGAGCAGGATGTATTTTCTGATTGACACGAGGCATCTACAAGAGCGAGTAATCAAAATTTGCCAAAGACAGAGAGGCAAATGTTTCTAGAGCTGCAATAGCCGTAGGGTCTGAGAGAACATCTGTTAAATGGTCATGCCACTGGAAAGAAAGTGTCCACTTTTGCCCACTCCTTTGGTGCGGACTCTTTCCCCACTAAAAGAAGTCCCCAAAGGCTTTGCTCCCGGACAACAATCAACGAATTTAAGTAGCCCTCTCTGTTTGCATTTTCTATTTGATCCTGCTTCTCCCACTGAAACCTCTTAAGGACTAAACCTTCCTTCTCAGACCCCTGCGGACTGTATACACTGCCAATGAAGCACCCTGATTGTTGTGATGATCTTTGTTATGTCCCCAAAGCTCTTTATTGGTTGTAAGAGACATCTGAGGAAATCTTTTGTACCGGGTTGCCTTCTTTGCACTGGAGGAGAGGGACAATTATATCACTGGAAGCCTTTACAATGGAAAAGGCACTCTGGTCTGTGTTCCAAGTCTGGGCTTCGACCATTTTGTCTAAAGTAGGCTTCTTCCTTAAGCTTTGTCTCAACAGGTAATGGTGTTTATGCCAAAATCTGTTTGCAGTGACCAACCTAGATAACAACACTTAGGGCAATAATTAGGCACGTCAGTTCAAGGAAAGGGCAGGGATCTCTTGACTCAACCCCTTTGCTGACATGAACAAAATGGTCAGGGTTGAAGAAGACATTCAGAATGGATGGCTTTGGAGAAAGATACATGGGTCCTTAGACAACAGATGATAGTTTGGAACAAGGTCTTTCTGGGTGTGATGAAGTCTCCTCTCATGTGTGATAAGTTAATTTTCAGAGAATTAATGGCCATTGAGTTCCTCTTGTAAAACTGTCTTTAGGCAGTTGGGGAACTCAGAAAGCCTTGCATTTTGCTATTTTCAAGTTCCAACAGCTCAAAATAGTCAATATACAAATGCGGTACGTTTTAGGATGGCATTCCCCAAACTCCTTCATTGGTAGCTTTGTCTAATGCACTTTAAGCACAACTGTTAAGAACGAGTAAGATAAGTGAATATACATGGGATGGAAGTTTGTGGGTGAATTTGTCATGATCTCCGAGTCCGTTTAAAGTAAGTTAAAGTACTAAAACCTGCTCCTCAACCATTCTGACCTTGTGTTTTGAGGGAGGAGAATGTGAAGACGGCAAAAATATGATTCTGATAAGGGGGAAAGCGCTCAACTGACTTTAGAGATGGGGGTAAGCTACTAGAAATTGTCCTGAAAACAGCTGTTCACTGTTTTCATCTGGAAATTGTGGAATGTGTCTTGACTAATTGAAAAACACTGAGTAATTGGAAAACACTGAGTAATAAAATGAGTAATAAAATGAGTAATAAAATGAGCTGGTTGAGGTTGATAACCCACGCATGACCATATTCATTCATTTAACAGGTATATGTCATCTACGATGTGTAACATCCTCCTCGTGCCAGGGAGGTAATGGCAAACAGGGTACGTATAGTTTCTTCCCGCAGGCAGACATAGAAGAAACAGGGAACTATCCACTCATTGTTATCTGTGTTAGTATCTGCAAGTAGATGAGTCAAATTGAACTCCACATGACAGCTGTTTTTGCTGCCGTTTATCTAGTACCAGCTGTTACGCTGCACTCACAGAATTATGAATGAATTCTGCTACTGGTACATCTTTTAATATGGTGTGGAGAAGCTAGGTGCATTTGAATCTGTTAATAAACATGAAAAAGGTTGTCATATGAGGAAATGTGTTTCTAAAAGTTATGAAATGCTCATCTACAAAATGCTGATATAAACAATTCAATAAGCATAGAACTAGCATTCAACCCAGCAATCCTGACTCCCTTTCCAGTCTGGATGCCGTCCTTTATTTTTCCTTCATAAGAAGTGGAAAGAGTGAACATCTTTGTCTTGTTTCCTATTATAGAAAATTTTTTTAACTTTTCGAATATGAAGTTAGCTGTGGACTTGTCATATATGATTAAATGTAAATGAATTAAATTCCCCAATCAATAGACACGGGATGGCTAAATAGCTTTTTTTTTTTTTTTTTAGTTGGAGTCTCACTCCGTTGCCCAGACTGGAGTGCAGTGGCTGCTCCCGGCCACCGCAGCCTCGACCTGCTGGGCTCCGGCGATCCTTCTGCCTCAGCCTTCCAAGTAGCTGGAACTACAGTCGTGTGCTATCACGCCCAGCTAATTTTTTTATTTATTGTAGAGATGAGGTCTCGCCAAGTTGCCCAGGTGGGTCTCGAACCCGCGGGCTCAGGCCATCCACTCACCTCAGCCTCCCAAAGGCGCAGGATTACAGGCTGAGCCACCAAGCCCGGCTGCTAAATAGATTTTTAAAAATAAAAATGAAACCTGGTAATTTAGTGAGACATTGTCGTCTCTACAAAAAAATCAAAAACTTCGCTAGGTATGGTGGCACACACCTGTAGTGCCAGCTACCCAGGAGGCTAAGGCTGAAGGACCGCCTGAGCCCAGGAGATCGAAACTACAGTGAGCCATGATCATGCCACTGCACTTCAGTCTGGTCAGCGGAGTGAGACCCCCCCAACTCAAAAAAGAAAAAAAGGACATTTCACTCAACAGCAGGGAAAAATCTCCAGGATGGACAGATTATATGTTAGGTCCCATAACAAACATAACAAGTCTTAACAAATTTAAGAAGGTTAAATCATGCTAAGCATCTTTTCTGACCACAGTGGTATGAAATGAGAAATAAGTAATAGAAAGAAAATTGGAGAATTAAAAAATATGTGGAAATTAAATAGCACCATTCTGAACTACCTGCAGATCAAAAGATTTAAAAACATCTCAAGAGAAATGAAAATGAACACACAACATAAAAGATGTATGGAATGCAGCAAAATCTCCTACTGCAAGTGAAAAAGAAAGAGCTCAAGTCAACAACCTAACTCCATACCTCAAGGGGAAAAAAGAATAAGCTAAAGCCCCAAAACACCAGATTGAAATATAATAAAGATCAGAGTATAAATACATGAAATAAAGATCAGAAGATCCATAAGAAAGATCAATGAAATTAAGAATTATTTTAAAGACAAGAAAACTGACAAACCTTTTGCTAGACTATAAAAAAGAGAGACAACTCAAAAATGAAATTATAAACAAAAAAGGAGACATTACAACTGATACCACAGAAAAACAAAGGATAATACACTACCATGAACAATTAGACAGTAATAAGTTGAATAATCTAGAAAAAAAATTCCTAAAAACATACAACCTTCCTAAGCTGAGTCAGGAAAACATGGAATATGCAAACTAGTAACTAGTAAGTAGACTGAATCAGTAATAAGAAGTCTCCTACTGAAGCAAAAGCATTTCACTATGCCTTCAGTAGTAAGGTTAGTCTTTCTTTTTTTGAGTTGAGTTGGAGTCTCACTCTGTTGCCCAGGCTGAAGTGCCATGACACACTGACAGCCACCCTGGCGTCAATCTGCTGGGCTCCAGCAATCCTTTCACCTAGCCTTCCAAGTAGGCAGAACTACAGGCGTGCACTACCATGTCTGGCTAATTTTTTACTCATTGTAGAGACAAGGTCTCGCCAAGTTGCCTGGGCTCAGGCAATCCACTTGCCTCAGCCTCCCAAAGTGCAGGGATTACAGGCTGAGTCACAGAGTCCAGCCAAGGTTAATCCTTTTTAAACACCTTGAAAACGGAAGAGGAGAGAACACTTCCAAACTTATTTACAGGGTCAGCATTACCCTGAGATCGAAGCCAGACAAGGACACCACAGCAAAAGGCAATTGCAGGCCAATATTTCTGATGAACATAAATGCAATTATAGCAAATTGGATTTCACAGAACAATAAAAGGATCAGCATAAGCAAGCCAATGAATGTGAACACACCTCGACACAGCAAAGGCCACGTGTAGCACGCTCACTGTGTGCATGTTCCGCGCAGACACAGAAGTCTAAGCAGCCGTCCCTCCTGCTGGTGTGGCTCGGTCTACCTGCTTCCTCTGCCCCCCATTCTCTACAGGACTAAGATGAGGAGTTAAACGTGTCAGTCACATCACATCGCTTGCTGTGTTAACCTTCCAGTTCTTTCTCATTTCAAGTCGAAGAAACCCCAGTCTACACCACGTGAGAGATGGGCCCTGCGCACTCTGACTCCTGCCTCTCTCCTTCTGCCCCAGATGCAATGAGCTTCTTTTTTATTCCTGGAAAAACAAAATCACCAACTTCCATGTTGGGCCTATGGCACTTGCTGTTCCTACAAGTGGGAAACTCCACACTGGACCCTCTGCTTTGTCTGTTGGGTCTCCACAAGGCCTCCCGCTCTGTGGAGCCTTCTGGGGCCGGATGCGGGCCAGCACCTGCCCACACGCCTCTGCCGTCCAGTTCTGCTCCAGTTTCCTCATGCACACAGGAAGGGCTCAAGTTGTCTTGTTTGGTATTCGGGACTTGTCTAGTGGGCAGAACCCAAGAATTACCAGGGTGAAATTTGCACGTGGTTCTGAAAGGGCAGTGAGACTTGGAGAGAGGAGAGGTGAGGGCACGTTTTCCCCAGGGTTGCTCATCTTTCCCAGCAACTCAGTCCTGCTGGGTGCCAGGCTGACCCTCCCAAGCCATCCTCAAAGCATGGGGGCAACCAAGGGCCTCCACCCAGCCAGCCAGCCAGAACCAAGAACCAACTCTCACAATGTAACCGCGCCCTAAAGTAAGTTTTGCTGCAAATGTTTTCAAATATTTATAAAGAAAAGTGCTTAAACTAATCTACACATGTGGAAGGGGGCTTTAAAAGACATCTACAATGTCAAAAATTAGGCTAAACATAAACTCAGTCTTGGCACAGTTAAAAAAGTTCCCTTCCTGGAAACTGGCAACAGCACCTGCTGGCTAGGTTAAACTGTGCAACGGTTCTGTGAACCGCGCTTGCAGTGCTTGAAACGTACCTAGGCCTCTAGGATGTTGTGGTTTGGCCTGCTTGGAAAGTCCCAATGTGGTTTCGCCCCGTTGCAGCAAGCCCCTACAGCAAACGGGAGCCCTTGCTGTGGGACTGGCATGTCCAGCAGGCAAGTGGCCGCCACCCGGCTCTTGGCTAATAAACCTCTGTTCTTGTAACTTGTACTTCTGGTGGCGGTGTCTGTGAATTAAGCACTCAGTCCCTATTACACACACACACACACACACTGGTTGGCAACACAATGTGTGAAATCAAACCAGAGTTTAACATCTCCGTTACCTTTAATATATCTGAACAAGTACCGCTGACCACGCGTCAGAAACACAGGAGCAGCACAGCGAGGTCACGTGCCTGTTCTAGGGCACCCAGCGCAGCTCCACCAGGACCCAGCTTCGCGACCAAAAGGGGCGGGAGGGAAAGCGCCAGGGAGGGCGGGAGCTCCGGGGGACCGCAGCCCG